TTAGCATGATAGAGTGTATACTTGTAATTAATGTTAATATTTTGATATTGTTATAAAATAAAATAAAATTAATGAAACATATTATGTATGATTAATAACAATTAAAGGTATAAATTTATTTAAAAGTTATCCGATTTCAAATTAATGATGATTTTATTTAATGAATGTTAAATTATAGATAATTAATTTATGGGTTAATTGAAGTTTATTATTGTAAGATATTCTTAGATTATCCAAAGGTTAATTAATTGTTCTTATAATTAATGAGCATGTTGATAAATAATGATTATCCAAATATGTTAGGTGATTTTAGTTTATGTATATTTTAATTATCACTAATGTTATAATATAATTAACATCATTATGTTTGAGTATTAGTGTATCTCAAAAGGAGAACATTAGTATATATATAATGTTTATTTGAGTTTGAATATATATTATATATTTAAATACATGACTCAAAGTATTAATATTAGGAATGTGTTAATTGTAGTATATGTTCATATATTTTTATATTTGCTCGCTACTTTTATTTTAGTCTAATGGGTTAAATTTCCTTGATTAAAGTAAACATGTCTAATTTTACTTAAGTGTATTGGATGTCTAATTTTACTTAAGTGTATTGGATCTTTATTTGACTTTTCAAGTTGAAAAACTAGCTATTATCTATTATCACTCATACTAGTAGAAATAAAGAGAAAACTTATTATAAAGTTTGAAAAATGTCAAACAGACTTAGTCTGATGTTTATGTGAATGAGTACGACAAGTAACATTAAGTTTGCTCTAACTAAAACTAAGAATACAACAAAATTTATGAAATTTGTGGAACAACGCTCACAAATTGATATGAAGTTTTATGGTCCTTGTACTATGTACAAACACGCAGTGACAGAGTTTATTGGGAGATGAGGGGGTCATGCCCCCGCAAATATTTTGTAACTTACATTAGTATTTATAATTTTGACCACTAAACTTAATGATTATTCCTAAAGTTTTGTAACTTACATTATTATTTATAATTTTAACCTCCCCAAACTTAATTATTATTGAATATACCTACTTATATCTTTACAAATTTGACTTCTTACTCTTTCATATTTTTTTATCTTTTCATATTCATTTATTATGTATTGATAATATATTATTTAGCCTCCTCAATATTAATGGTCAAGATCTATCACTGTGAAGATGTAATCGAGATGACAAACATAATAGCAAGATTCAAGTCTCTTGGAATAGTAATGGATGAAAGTTTTCATGTGCAATTCATTTTGAATAGTATGGTCCGTTACAAATGAACTATAACACCATGGAAGACAAATAGAATATGCATGAACTACACAATATCTTAGTTAAGAGGAGACCACACTCAAAAACTTGGGAAGTCACTTTGTTCATTATGAGAAATCAAGGAAATAGAAAGAAAATTGTTAAGAAATAAGCAAAGATTAATAAAGAATAAAATCCTTTCGGATTTAAATTTTACTAATTTGAATGTGTGTGTGGATTGTATTAAAAACAAACAAAACACACAAAGAAAGGAGCCACAAGAAGCATTTGACTTCTTGAATCATACACATTAATATATGTGGTCCATTTGATGTGAATTCTTTCAATAAAGAGAAATATTTCATCACATTTATTAACAATTTCTCGCGTTATGAACATGTCTATTTACTGCATGAGAAATTTTAAGCAGTAAATGTCTTGAAAGTTTATATAAATGAAGTGGAGATACAATTAGATAAAAGGGTGAAAATTGTCAGGCCAGATAAAGGTGGTGAGTATTATGTATGGGAGATATGAGAAAAGTGAACAATACCATGTTCATTTACTAAGTTCTTTGAGAAACGTGGTATTTGTACTCAATACACAATGTCAGACATACCACAACAAAATAGTGTGTTAGAAAAGTGTAACTGAACCTAAATGGACATGGTTAAGAGTATGTTAAGTAATTTATGTTTACCTGTATCATTGTGGATGTATGTTATGAAAACTGTCATGTATGTGTTGAACAGGATTCCTAATAAAGTTATTCAAAATACTCTTTTTGAGTTATGGACAAGTAGGAAATCAAGTTTGAGACACCTGCATGTTTGGGGTTATCAAGCAAAGTAAGAATATACAATCTACAAGAAAAGAAACAAGATGCAAGAACAATAAATGAATATTTCATTGGTTATCCAGAAAAATCAAATGGGTATATGTTTTATTGTCCTACCCATACTATAAGAATTCTTGAAATTGGAAATGTTCGGTTGATTGAGAATGATGAAATTAGTAGAGTGAAAATTCACGAAATGTGAAGATTAAGGAAATTAGAGTAGAAGTTCCTATAACTAGTACTTCTGTAAAAGTTGTTGTTCCTCATGTTATAGAACTACACAACAATAAATAAGAATAACAAATTAATGATCATGATGTAACAATGAGTCGGTAGTAGAACAACCACAAAAAATAGTGTTAAGGAGATTCACAGAGAAAGAAATTTTGATATTTTAAATGATTATGTAGTTTATAGACAAGAGTTGAAAAAAAACTTATGTATTGATAATGACCTAGTTCCATTTTCAGAAGCCATTAATGATGATAATTCTTATAAATGGTTAAATGCTATGAAAGATGACACATAATGGTGTATGAGACCTTGTGGTATTGTTAAAGGGATGCAAGAGAGTTTATATAAATGGGTTTTTAAGACTAAATGTGACTCTCATGGCAATATCAAACATTACAAAACTCGACTTGTGGCCAAAGATTTTACTCATAAAGATGATATTGACTTTTAAATATTTTTGTGCACCAAATGGATGTTAAAAAGGTCTTTCTGAATGGAGATTTAGAGGATGATGTTTATATGGATCAACTAGTGGGGTTCATTGAAGAAAGGAACACATGATGTGTAAATTTAAGAAATCAATATATGGACTTAAACAAGTTTCTCAACATTGGTATCTTAAGTTCAATTATGCTATTATGTCCTTTGGATTTAAGGAAAACACAATTGATCGGTGTATATATCTGAAGGTCAATGAGAGCAAGTTTATATTTCTTATTATATTGCTTGTGACTAATGATCTTTGTCTATCAAGTGAGACTAAAAAATTCCTTTCTAATAACTTTGAATTGAAAGATATGAATGAGACATACTATGTAGTAGGAATAAAGATATTCGTGATAGATCACAAGGATTATTAAGTTTGTCTTAGAAAGTATATATTAATAAAGTTTTAAAGAGATTCAAAATGGATAAATGTTGAGCATCTCTTATTCAAATATAGAAAGGAGACAAATTTAGTCTCATGTAATATCCAAAGAATGATGAATGATTTGAAATGGAAACAAATAGAAAATATCCCCTATGTATCTATTGTTGGGAGTTTGATGTATGCTGAAACATGTACGAAGTCAAATATTAACTTTATAGTTGGTATGTTGGGTAGATACCAGAATAATCATGAACTAGATCATTAAAAAGCTACAAAAAAAAGTCTTAACATTCTTATAAGGATAAAAGAATCACATGCTTACTTATAGGAAATCTAATCACCTTGAGGTGATTGGATAAACAACTTAAGGCTTTGCCAGTTATATGGATATAAGAAAGTCTATATTTGGTCATGAGTATATTTTAGCAGAAGAAGTGATGTCATAGAAAAGTGTGAAGCAATCTATCATTATTGCATCCACCATGAAAATTGAATTTGTGACATGTTTTAAAGCCACAATTCAAACTAATTGGTTACGGAATTTAATTTTAGGACTTAAAAATAGTCAACAATATTACCAAATCGCTTAAAATTTTATGTGATAATTCTGCAACAGCCTTCTTCTCTAAGAACGAAAAATATTCTAAAGGTATTAAACATATGAAATTGAAATATCTTGTTAAGAAGTTTAGAAACGAAAAGTATCAATAGAACATATGAACACTTATTTTATGGATATTGATCCTTTAACAAAAGGACTACCGCCTAAATTGTTGGTCATATAGAGAATATGAGCATTATGTCTACTAGTGAATGTTGAACGTTAATATTATTATTAATGCTTATATGACACTATAAGTTCTTTAATACATAAGTTTCTAAAATTTGTGATTTCTTTTATATATATATATATATATATATATGCAAATTATGATCAAAAACACAAATTATATTATTATTATTATTCAAATAATATTATGTTTGAACTCATTATGGACTTGTAAATTCATATTAAAAAGAGAGGGATAATAGTATATGGAAGCATATTGATTAAATGACATATAATTATCATCACTCTTTTTGTTTTGTATCTTTAATTATAAATAATGATGAAACCAATGTAAGATCATCTAATGTGCATTATGATTTATGTATTAAATCACAAAATACTATGACATCATATAAGTCAAGTGGGAGAATGTTAATACGAAAAATTGTCCAACTTAACGGATAGTATGAGGAGTTATCTTCTAAAATTGATGGGAACCAACTTAATCAAAGTTGACTATGGGTTCTCTGCCTAACATCAAAAGTACGAGAGAAGAAAAAAAGAAAATAAGATAGATTGAAAAATAGAGAGACTGGAGACATATTTTTGTTGCATCTTTTACAAATCAATGTTAGTATATCTCCGAGTACCTAAGAATCATATATTTTAAGATCTTATAATAATTTTCTTTCATTGAATTAGAAACACATTTAAACTATAAATACTAACATTTATCATATCAAATTATTATTAATTTTAAAATTTAATAATTTTATTATAATTTTATTCTTAAAATATATTTTTTAATAGATTAAAAATTAAAATTTGTATGAATTATCTTTAACCTTATTCTCAAAATTATAATAAATACGAACAAATTCTCCCTCTCTCTCTGTATATATATAAAGACATATATTCTTTAAATTTAAACTTTATAAGCTCTGGTGTAATTAAACTCAATTCAAAGATATAGTTTTACATAAACTTTATTTGTGCTCCATTACCAAAATTCCATTATCAAATTTCTCCTTCTCCCTTTGAACCCTGAAGGCCAGCAGCACTTTTATCTTGCTTGGCCTTTTGGTCATCCAGATGATGTTGATATATATAGGACAGAAAGCCCCATATAGCTAACAAGAAGGCTATAACCTTCACCCCATAAATCTTGTCATGAAAGACAATCACAGCAAGGATAGGAGTTAAGGTCAATTCCAGGTTACCTATTACAACAGAAAACAATGAAGATACCTCAAAAATCAACCCTAACATACCAATGCATGCTATTTGCCATGTCACAGAAGTCCAAACCAGAGTCATTACATAGGACACCCTACCGTATTCAAATTCCTTCATCTCCATTCCCATACTTCTCCAATCTCCACTTCCAAACAATCCCACAACGCCACCAACTGTAGCAATGAGCATAGGGTAGAAACTCATTCTCAACACAGCAGAATAGGTTTCTGTCTTTATAACCTTCTCAAAATAGAGCTGCAAGAGAGAGTGGTGTAAAGCGAACGTGGCGGATGCAGCAAGGGTACAGACGATCCCGATTATTTGCTTTTCTTTGGAAAGGTTCTTTGTGTCCTCGGATTCAGTATTCAGTGCAATTAGGGTAACTGACATGGTAAGGACAACTACAGAGTTGAATATCAATGCAGTGAACTTCTGGGAATTGAGGAAGTAACTAGCTACTGTATTGAAGGCTAATTGGGTTGCACAAACAAGGGCAAAAGTGGAAAGAGGAAGATATGAGAGTCCACAGGCATACAACAAGTCCATTGCTGCAATCACTAGGCCAAAACCTAGGTACAGGGAAAGTATGACGGAACGTTTTGGTTTGGTTTCGATTTTGGAGGAATCATGGTTTGTTGATTTGTCATTTTTTGCAGAGTAAAATAGGAGTGGAATTAGTACAGGAAATCCAGCTGATTGAACAGATGCTGCAATCCATTTGCTTTTACCACCTTTGTCAAAGTAGAACCTTACCAGAAGTGTGGCTGTGCATTGGCCTGCAAGAAGAAAGATTGTATAAAGGGACACACGCAACCACCGTTTGTATTCTCTGAGTGTTGAACCTTGAGGTTGCTGAGTAACTGTTGTGGACATTTCTGAGTAACCTTGAGGTTCACAACAATTGAGACAAGAGATACATGACACAATTTTTTAACTTCAGATTTTCACCAAATCATTTTATACTAACTAAAAGAATTGGATTGAGTTGGAATATTGAAACATTGTGTGGGCCATAAAAACTTTGTATAATCTCTGGTTCAATCATATGCTCTATCACACTCGTTTTTTATATTGCTTTTCAGCATAGCCGTTAACTCTTTTGTTCCTGATGTAATATTTTCACCTATTTTTATTGAAGAAACATTTTTGGCCTTTATGAAAAGTTATTTCAATTTTTTACATCTGATTATTGTTTTATTAAATATTCACATACGTATGCTTTGTTTTTACCGTCCACTGTGTAAATCAAATAAATTTTTCAATATATTATCTCCATAATAATTTATAGCTCAAATTTTTTTAAAAATCATTTGATTTAACCAATGAACAGCACATGTTGGAAACTAGATATTGATTATAAAAATTAAAACCAGATAAGGATATGATGCTCATTTAAATAAATTCTTGGAAAATATTTATAAAGAGAAGAAAATAAAATAAATTTAGAGGTAAATAAAGAACGTAAGATAAAATCAGCTTATTTAAACTCTTTTTAGAAGGTTTATGTTCGTTATATATATATATATATATATATATATATATATATATATATATATATATATATATATATATATATATATATATATATATATATATATATTTATTTATTGAGATATATTAATTAATTTACTTCTGTAAGAAATAGACTCCATCTTATATTTTGGTCTCTTTTATTTTTATTTGTATTTATTAAAAATTCCAAAACTAGGTTACACTGAAGAAGTGTCCAGAAATATTTTATTTGTAATATATTTGATAAAAAATAATTTTTTCTCGGCTAAAATCCGCCCTCCCCTTATATTATAATAAAAATTATTTATACTTTGAAATATGTTACTGACAATGGTCACATATATAAATTTAAAGTTTTTATACTTCAATCACTAAATTATTAAGATATTTTAATAATAACTTACAAATAAATTATATTTATATTTATCTATATAAATATATAAATATATAAATATAAAATATATAAATATCAAATATATAAATATAAATATATTTATATTTTGATATATTTATATATTTTTATATTTTTATATTTTTATATTTTGATATTTTGATCATATTTAAATTATTAATATGAAAAAAAATGAACAAAAGACACTCTCTGAATTAGATCATATTTAAATTATTAATATAAAACTAATATCCTAAATATTTAAGTGCATTCATTTGTAAAAATTTGATATAATCCTCCCATGTTTATCCAAAATTCAATAAAACCTAACAAATGCCTTAAAAAAAATATAAATTTAAACTCAAACTTTTCCCACCTTATATGAAGATGAGGATGGAGAGAGACCATATAATAAAATATATAATTTGTAATGAAATTAAATTATTTTTCTTATGTATATATTTATATTTTTAAACATTTAAATAAAACTTCCCTACTTACCATTTCATCGTAGATTCATAAAATATCATAATCAACCCTAATGTATATTTTAATATAAGAAAATAAAATAATATTTTTTTGTATTGTATTTCTCATAAGAAAATGTAATTTATTCCATATTTATATAATTAAGAGCATTCAGTAAAAGACACGATTGTTCCTCAATCAATGTTAAAATATAAAATTAAAAAAATTGATAAAAAAATTAGGGTGTATATAATTTTCTATTTAAAAAACTTTTTTTGGTTTAAAAAAATGTAAAGTAGAAAAATGTATTGAAATGATAAAAAATAATGAAGTGATATTTTCATAGGTCCCTCCGCCTTGTATGCACAAAAATGGCATTGCGCGTGGGGGAAGAGAACACGATAAAAATAGAAGAGCAAAACGCAAGAAAAAGGTACGTTTTTTTTCTACCATTTAATCACTTTTTTTTATGATTAGAAATTTGGAAAGTATCTATACTATACTATACTAGTGTTATTTAATAGAACCAGGTAAGTATAATTTTCTCAAAATATTAAATTATAATGTTTTTTGTTTAAGAGGATTACCGTCATATATCTTCCCAAAATTAGTAAGAGAAAAATATTTATCGTGTTTGCCTTTTTCGTTAACTTTTTTAAATAACAAATAGTTATATGTCAGGAAAAAATAAATAAAATTTTATTTATTCTTAGTTTTAATATTTTTTTTATATATATAACTTACTTATTTTTAAGTTTCATTTTGATCATAGCTTAAGTGTATGAGCAGGTTTTCATTTTGGCGTGAGTACTTTAATTAACTGAGATGAATATGCTTCTCAATAATATGGAAGGGTTAAGTAGTGATTTAAAATAAAACAGATATGCGATGTAGGATAAAAAAATATTATTTAATTTCAGAATGTGAGAATATAATATAAAAATAATCACATAAACTAATTATAATCGATATTATATTAACTACTATAAAATTCAAGCTGTGATGGAATATCAAGAATGAAACAGGGGAATTTAAGAAGAGCATGCTATAAAGGTATGATTTCATAAAAATTTGGTCCATCCCATTCCAATCAGCAAATTTCTACCTCAGCATGTGAAACCCCAAGGCCAAGGCCATTACTGTTATCTGCCTTGGCTTTTTTGTCATCTAGATAATGATGATACACATAAGATATAAAGCCCCACACTGCTAGCAACAAGGCTATAAACTTCACCCCATTCATCTTGTCATGGAAGAACATCACTGCAAGGATGGGAACAATGGGCAATGCCAAGGTACCTATCACATTTGAAAACAATGAAGATACCTCAAAAATCAACCCCACCATACCAATGGATGATATTTGCCATGTCACAGCAGTCCAAAGTAGAGTCATTATATATGACACCCTTCCCTTCTCATAATCCTTCATCTCCTTGCCCAAAATTTTCCACTCTCCACTTGCAAACAAGCCCACAACACAAGCACATGTAGCAATGAAGGATGGGTAGATCTGCATGTCCAACACAACAGTAAAGGTTTCTCTCTTTATAACCTTCTCAAAACAAAGCTGCACGAGAGAGAGATATAATGAAAATGTAGTTGATGCACCAATGGTGCAGAAGAAGCCAATTATGTGTTTTTTTCTGGGAAGTCCCATTTGATCATCAGAATCGGCATTGATTGCAAGCAGGGAAGCTGATATGGTAAGGAGGACTATAGAATTGAAAATGAATGCCGTGAACTTCTGGGAATTCAGGAAGTAAGAGAACACTGCATTGAAGCCTAATTGGGTTGCACATAGTAGAGAATAGGTAGAAAGGGGGAGATATAGAAGTCCATAGGAATACATCAAGTTGTCCCCTGTCAGAATTAAGCCAAATGCTAGGTAGAGGAAAACAAGGGTCGAAAATTTTGGTTTTGTTTTGCTGGACTCATTGTTGAGCTCGTTAGTTAATTTGTCATGTGTTTGTGTTGAGAAGTAAAAAAGGAGTGGAAGAAGAACAGGGAATCCAGCTGATTGAACAAATGTTGCCATCCATTTGCTATTACCACCATTGTCATAATATAACCTTCCCAAAAGAGTAGCTGCAGATTGGCCTGCCAGAAGAAAGATTACGTAGAGGGATACACGCAACCACCATTTGTACTTTTTGAATCTTGGATGTTGAAGTTGCTGTCTTATATTTGTTCCTCTGTTCGAGTTGTGCACTTTTCCATCATCTGAGGAATACACAAGAGAAACTGGGATTAGTTCTATGTTTTCAACATAATTAGAACTAATTTAAACAAGTGGGACGCTAGAGACACAACTTTTTTTGTTTTTTTGGGTAATCTTTGTTTAGTTTATTATCTCATTAAATTATTTCTTTGCGAAGAAAATGGGCATTAAAGGTGTTCGATCAAACAATCTCCAACTTTTTTCAAGTTTCATCATCATTAGATATTGAAATGGGACATGGCCATATTATTAGCCAATTACTAGTAACATTTCCCTGCGACAACTCACACCCTGTTTGTCATAATATCTAACATAGTATTAAATCCTATTGAAAGAAACACAGTTATTATTGTACCTGCAATAAAAGAACAAGGATTTTGGGGATTCAGTGAGAATTATCTCCCTTTCATGTCTGTTTCTGTTCCAAGAATAACCAAGCAGGTTCCAGCCCTCCCTCTCCCATTAAAAAAAATGCAATAACTTCTCTTTAATGAGTGAGAGTGATTAAGAAACTAACCTGTATTTTGTAGCTGCTGATCTTGAACCATCTCCATTGAATAAAAACTATGAAGGGGATAACATCAAGATTTGAAGTGGAGCCTGCAAAGCATAAGTAAGGCACCGATCTTGAAGTATAGATAGACCATAGAAAGTAAATTCAAAGCCGACAAATTCAAGTTTGATTTAAGTGAGTTGATCATATTGGACTTTTCTGTATTTCTATGAACACTAATTTGGAAGTGTTGCATAGTAACTGTGGTGAAAATCGTAAGCAACACGACATTGTGAGCATTCTCTTACCATAATTCTTTTGCGAGCGGGATCTATTGTATCCTAATTAGTCATCAGATTCGTTTGTGTTTTCTCCTGGTGAGTAATCAATCAGTTGTCTTTATCATTTGTCCGATTTGGAAGAAAAACTTCGAGGTATATAAAGAACAACACATGAGGAATGACACATAAATTTCAAGAATCTATTTTATATTTATATTATAAGTAATATGAGAAATAACACTTAAAACCTGATAAATTCATTCTTGAAGCATTCAAAAACAATTTGTAAGAATTCCATGTGCGTCCACTAGGAGATCAATCTTTGTTGATAAAGCCTTGAAAATAGTTTGTTACTCATAAATTAAGAGAGATGAGATATAAGTCATAAAATTGTGTTGTATTCAAATGTACAATGGTAGAATTAATTTTATAAAACATATATCTTTTATAAGTTTTACACAGTAACAATTTTTGTTATTATTATAGGATATCGTATCTCATTGATTGATTTAAATCAATATTTTCTCTCTTCCTTAAAATATTTAGATATTTTAAATATATTATTTTATTTTTAGTATTAATAGATAATATAATAATATTTTTCACATAAAACTAATTATTATTAAATTATCTAATTTAATAATCAAATATTAAAATTATTTTTTTAACAAACGTCAAAACACTCGTTGGTGGATGACTATGTAGATTCAATACTAAATCGATAATATATTAATCAAGATAAATATTAAATAATTCTTGTAACCATCTTAATAGAATGAACAAAATATGTCTTCAAAAACCAATTAAAAAAATATACAATATTTTCTTTCATCTATGACTTCTCTAAAAAAAATATCTTTCTTCCACCATGACTAAGGTTTTAATTTTATTATAAATATTCAATTATATCTAATATTCATTGAACTAGCATCGGGTAACGTAAGGTGTGGGAACTCACGTCAAAAGAAAATATTTATTTTCTTCCTGAGAATTTTCCTTGATAAATTAAAGTAATATTATTCATTAGAAATTCTCATTTAAATCAATTAAATTCTCACATCCAATAAATAAATATAAATATAAATATATATATATATATATATATATATATATATATATATATTAATCTTTTTGGATTATTAACATCATGTTTATAATATTCTTATAATCAAGAATAATTTAAATTATAATAATAAGAGATTTATTTTTCATTATCATAATCTCTATTATAACAATAAATCTTAAATTATAATAAAAGACTTTATCAAAATAATTATTATATTAAATAAAATATAAAATAATAAAAAATTTATTTTATAATAAAACTAAAATCATCTATATTATAATTTATCTTGGACATATATAAATTTTTCCAACCATCTCCTTGTCGAGAGTGAATTAGTCGTATATTCTTTGTCCTAAGTACTTTAGTAAACGGATTTGTTTTTCCATTTTTAATATCAATCTAGTAAACTCATTTACAATAAGATAAACAATATATATCAAATCATCTACGTGATAGTTGGATCTTGGACACACATAATATTTTCATCATCTGTCTTTAATTTAATTTTTGAGAAACCAATTTACGCATGATCTTTTTTCTAATCCACTTCCACAGTTTTTATCAGTATGCTTTGTCTTAATGCATCTTTTCAACATTATTGTTCGGTGCAAGTACGATGTGAATAGAAATAAATGTTTGTTGAAAAATATTAGTCCCACCCAATCTTTGAATCTTTATTAATATTACTATTTTGACTCTTGACTATATACCCTGGACATAAAAAAAAATTAATAATTATTTGTTTGGTACCTTGTGCAAGATTTTCATCAGATAAAAAAAAAAACACTTTTCTGAGTTCTCTGCATCATAAAATCCAGCTTCCATCTCGGTCACACCAATACAAAGAGTCCAAGGTTCAGTCGCTAGTAGTGTACAAAACAAATCCATGAATGAAGGAAGCCTCATCAAACTAAAAACACAACTAGAATAGAAGATGTTAGGAAGATGCTTCAATCATCAACACATGTTAAATCATCTTATACGTGTGTAAAAAAGTACAATCAATTCTCATTATTTTCTACGAAAAATCTTCTAACTTTGACACCCTAACGTTGAGAGGTCTACAAAGCGTTGATTGTTAAACGACATTTAACTGGGGCTCTTTATTTCAAATGGGTAAAAGGTGATGAATTGACATGTAAAAAATCAAAAAATTAAAGGTGACGCTCCCACAATCAAAACATTCAACATCGAAGTAAATAAACACATTTTTTACACGAGGAAGCAAGCCCCTTATGCTCCCACCTTAAAGATAACTATAATCATCTTCATCATTCATCCTTAAGTAACACATTATGGCAGATACAAACACAAAGAATGAAGAGAGTTCCATTGCAAAAGCTCCCCAACTGATAACACCAGAATGCTTTAATATGGCTGGAATGGCAATGCTTCCAACAGCTGATGCCCCGGTTAAGAACTTGGTTGCATTCACCCAGCTGCTCCATCATTCATCAGACCACAAAAATTGAAACAAAAATGAAAATTGAATTGAACAATTCCCAGCTTGGAGTAGGAGAATTCAGACACTTAAATTCTTCTTTTTTTCCCTGAGACAAAAAGTTAAAGATTTACCTGTTATCTGATTCAGAAAATAAAGAAGAATGGTCGGATCCCACAAAGAAGAGCAAAGGCATTGGTAGAAGGACATATGTTATCACTGCATGCAGGAGGAATAAAAGAAGATTTAATAACGTACAAGAAGATTTTCTTGTCTCCCATAAATGAAAAAGGAACAATAAATTAGCATGCTGGAGAACTGCTTTATCTCACCAGTTAGCATTGGCCACCAATTTTTATACAAGGCACATGCCTGCCACATAGAACAAATCTAAGTAAACAGTGAGTTTTTTTCCCCCATTAAGACATCTTTCGTCACATTTTATATTAAAAGGGAATGGGTGGTTTCTCTTGTCACACACATCACATATTATATACAATACCATCATCACCAAGGTGGAAAACAAATACTGACCAAAATCTGCAAGACAATTCCTCCAGAGACCAAAATTGCTAGAAGAACAAGTTTTCCTGTGTTCAAGCAGTAACGAAAATATCCTGGAAACTCTGCCATCTCCAACTCAACTCATTTTAAAAGAACGAATATCTGAAGAAAAATATAATAAGAACATACTGCTATGAGAACATCAGATTAGAAGAAAATGTTATGTAAAACTACATTGAGATTTAAATTTGGAAGTGTTTGTGTGTGTATGTCTATCTATCTTTAATCATCCTTAACCAATAAGCATAGAAGCCCAAAGAACCCAATCTAGTAGAAGAACTGAAGAAGAAATCTATACATGAAGAGCGACAAAATTGAACAATATATGCACGAAAACCAAAAAAAGATAATAAATGGTAGAAGAATGTTTGGAGGACATGTTATTTGTAAGTTCAACCATGAGAGAATCTGAGAAATTGATACCTGATATCTAAAATCAAAATGCATCCACAAACAACAAACTTTTCAAAAAACTTAAGAGATAAAAATATATTATATAACTAATCCAAATATGTTATAAATCAGTCCGTTACAACTACTCCTCCATCGTGAATCTACCAGTCAGGTTCTGATACACAACAGTACCCAATCGTCAAAGCTTCGTTAAATACAAATTGTATTCACAATTTTTTTTATTAGGTTTTTGGATACAATATGATATAAATAATAATTACATTACATAAGTTTTACTTATTTTATGTTAACTCTTGTTTTATTATACTAAATTTGCTTACCCCGTTATAAGTGAGATTATGCTAATTGCGTTTAGATTTATTTTAAAATATATGATATTTATATTCTCTCTGTTTAAAGCATTCACTTTATTTATATTTTTAGTATATAGTATTCATATTATTATATCTTTAATAAAATGTAACTTTTTATTTTATTTTAAAATATTAAATTAACTAAAAAATCATAATTTAAAAATAGAAAATTATTAATATATATATATATATATATATATATATATATATATATAATATAAGAAAGGTATGAAGTATTATTAAAATATACAAAAAAAAGGAATGTTATTTATTAAAAAAATGCGAAGAAGACATTTGTCTATTTTAAAATTAAAGAAAATATGAGTATCAATTTATTAAAAACACAAAATAAGAGTATTAATTTTAAAATTAAAAGAAATGTAAGAGTCTTTTAGTATCATCACAAGCTACTCAATATGCACCTATTAGTTTTACATTTTTTTTTATTCATCTTTTTTTTTCTTTAGTTTTCATAGTTTTTGTTGTATCGTATTGAAAGTTAGCCAGAGGTTAATCTGAACAAGCCTACCACTTGTTGATTCAGCTAAGTTATGACACAATGAGAGTATATTTTCTCTTTATAAAAGTTTGACTTTCAGTTTAATATTTGTTCTTAAACAAGTCGTCAATCAATTGTTGCGTTCAAAATTCAACTTCCTATTTTTCTTTGTCTTCTTCCACTGTCTTATTTGAACGACCCATTAAAAATAGATGCAATGCATAAATCTTTGGTGAACAAAATTCATAACAAAAAGAAGGACAAATCTATAAAATAAAACACCGTTTTTGATGAATTTACTCTCCAACTTCTTTACCTCAAAAACATTCTGCCATTATTTTTACTTGAATTTGATCTCAAAATATCATTTTTTTCTTTGATGATGAAGCTTGAGAATCATTAAATACACTTTTATTGTGTTTAGAAATTTTCTGTTAAACATCAAGTTAAAAGAGAATATGGAGTCATGCCATGGTAAATTAGAGTTGACTATAATGAGATTAAGCGTTTTTAAAAACTACTATTCAATTTATAAAATAAAAAATTCACATGAATTTCATTAAATTAATAAAATTTTAAAATTAATTTTCATTTATCATGTTGAAGTATCATTTCATTTCATGTGTAAAAAATAATGACTAAATACGTCAATTATAAAATGTAGAAATGTTTAGCAATTTTTATAAAAATTCAAAGGCTCAGTCAAACGTATATTTTTATTTATTAATTGTCAATTTCCATTCAATAACTTATTCGTGATTTTATAACAATCTTTTTTCTAATCAACTTTTTTTATAAATTTCAAATCCAAAATCAAATTTAAGAAATACAAATCATATATGTTTGTCAAGCTACTTTAAAAACCATTTAGAAGATTTAGTGTGACGTAAAATAATCACAGACATGAGTATAATTTTTTTAATTATAAATAAAAACAGTTTCAAAAGTAATATAGTATTAATTATGTTACAACTTACAACCTGATACCAAGATGCAAATTGTTTCAAGTTGTTAACATATATATTTATAAGAAATATTTTTTTTCCACATACATTACTGAAAACATGCCATACTTATGGGCGATTTTAGTTATTTTTAATTATATTATTGAAGTTAATAAATATCATTCATGCATTAAATGATGTTTATATTAAATTAGGTATTCGATCCCTCAAATTAAGGTTATCAATTATTTGTCGCTGTTTAATTAAGTTAGGGAAGTGGCCGAATAGGAAGGAGGACACCACCAGATTTCTCAGTCAACTTTTACATACAGTATTATATTAAAATTTACTCTTGCGTCAGAAGTAAATCTCTTAATACTTTTCTGTTAATAAATACCAAATGTAGTTATTAAAATTTTGATTTCAAATATAGATATATTCTTTTATAATCCTAAATATTATTGCTAGTTATGACAAAATTGTTTCACTTTAATAATTGATTTCAAGTTTGGGTTTTAAATGTAGAATTATAATGATTTAAAGAATTTAAATTTGAGAAGGAAAACCAAATTTCAAAAAGATTCTATCTATAAAAAAAAATGATTGTGGTCTAAAAAATAGTACATAGACGTTGAATTTACAAAGATTACATTTTAATTTGTGTAGTTGAGAAGGGGGTAAAAATACTAAATTAAAACGTCATGGAAGAAACGTAAATTAATAAGATATGTTGAGTTGGTTGGGTAAAGTTTGATGAGCATTGAAATTATAAGTTGAGGAATTGCAGGCCAGATTGGTGCTAAGTTCTGGATTTGGATGTATCTGAAGCGGTGAGAACACGACACTCCAAAAAACGAGTGGGGGAAGTTAAAAACCAAGCAGTAATGAGTTTATGTTAATGTCTGTGGGCAAAATAATAAAGGTTCAATAGCCAAAAATGATGTAGTCCCACAACTCCAACTGTCAAAACTCTTCTCTTATTTTTTTTCTTCCCCTTCCCATCCCCCGTTTAGTAGTCACTTTCCAACTTTGTTCCACCGAGACACACACAGCATAACTATACTGCTCTCTCTCTCTCTCTCTCTCTCTCTCTCTCTCTGTCTGAGGTAACTTACTTGCTGCTTTCTCTCTTTTGAGTGATTTGGATCTAGAAGGTGAAAAGAGGACGAAAAATTCGTTCTTTTTCTTTGTGGGTCATTTTGCAAATCATGCTCCTATTCTTATCATAATCTTTGTTATCGTTGCTAAAGTGATTGGATTTAGTTGCAACCTTCCAGCTTAGTTTGTTCATCGTTTGAGCTCGTTTACATTTGCGCTGAAAAGTTTCAAATTTTATGAGCTTGATCTTTTGCTGGATGTAATTTTTTATCTTCAGCTAATCCGTATGGTAAACAGTTGAGATTCGGGGTTGAGAGAGTGTTTAGATGAGATTGTTTGAAACTGGCTTTTTGGATTCTGTGACGATCGGATAATAGTGGCGAACAATTTCTGATTTTAAAGTTTGCCTTTATCTTTGTGTTAATTCATTAGCAATCTCATGTTAGATCCGCTTGCATGCTTGTGAAAATAAAATAAAACTAAGTTCTGATGGAACTTTGGTTGAAAAAGAGGTAAAGTTATTTCCCTGTGTTTAGTTTATAAAGGAAATATAGGTCTTGCCGTGCTAGAAATTGTGCCCCCAAATCTGGCCTAAAAATTCCAAATCCGTACTACCTTTTTTTGTTAATATATTCTAATAATTTCTTTGTGCGTAGATAACTATTAGTTCAATTTTGGTGGTTTGCTTGATTTGTGATGTTATACTATAACCTGTCACTCACTAATTTCAGTATGCATGGCATAGGGTTGAGAGGGTAGTACCAGCCAATTAATGGGTTCTAAAACCAATCCATCGGGCCATAGATCACGAAGGCCACTGTCAATATTTGCTGTGCTTGGTCTCTGCTGTTTCTTTTATCTTTTGGGAGCATGGCAAAGAAGTGGGTCTGGGAAGGGAGATAATCTTGCATTGAAAGTTAATAAGCTGATGACAGACTGCACTGTTTTACCCAATTTGAGTTTTGAATCCCATCACAATGATGTAGAAATTTTTGAACCTTCTGAGCCAAAAGCTAAAGTATTCAAGCCATGTGATGTAAAATTTAGAGATTATACACCTTGCCAAGAGCAAGACCGAGCGATGACATTCCCAAGGGAGAACATGATCTATAGGGAAAGGCATTGTCCCGCTGAAAAGGAAAAATTGCGCTGCCTCATTCCAGCCCCTAAAGGGTACACAACTCCTTTTCCGTGGCCTAAAAGCCGTGATTATGCCTACTATGCTAATGTTCCTTACAAGAGCCTGACAGTGGAGAAGGCTGCTCAAAATTGGGTGCAATTCCAGGGAAATGTGTTTAAATTTCCAGGTGGAGGGACTATGTTTCCTCAAGGAGCAGATGCATATATTGATGAACTTGCATCAGTTATTCCAATTGCTGATGGGTCTGTCAGAACAGCACTGGACACTGGTTGTGGGGTAAGTTTTAATGTTTAAGCTATCCTTGTGATAGTATGCTCTTTTTTTTTTTTAGTTTAAGGAGTGACAGTAGATGGAAAAGGCTCCTATAATGTGGATTAAGATCTGGAAGCACTGTAACTCAATTTAGGGATGCATACACCCTTACTTTTTTTTCCTTTAAAGACAAAATACCTTTAGAAGATCCTTATCCTGATCTGTCCTTTTCCCTTGATCTTATACCACTTAGGGATTTAAGATTGGATTCAGAACGCTTAGCTAAGGGGTCAGTTTACTTTGTCCTGTTAAATGTGTACATTTTCATTCATAATTATTGTGCAAATATTCTTTTGAAGTCTTCCCAATTCAATACTTATAACTGCCCTGAGATGAAATTGAGTAGAAGGAAATTGAAGAATTACTTTTGATGGCTACTACTTAGGAATATCATGTTGACCATGTATATATAATGTTCTTTTGTCTATTGTATTCCAAATTTCTCCATTTTCATGTATATAATTCGAGTATACTCAGAATCTATTGCCATCTTGATGTTTGCACTGGTTACTTGTTTTCAATAGGTACATTTCAATTGGTTTGTGATTGCTTTATCAATGTAAACATAAAAATTATACAGGTTGCAAGCTGGGGAGCCTACTTGCTAAAGAGAAATGTGCTGGCTATGTCCTTTGCCCCAAAGGACAATCATGAAGCACAAGTTCAGTTTGCTCTAGAACGAGGGGTACCTGCTGTTATTGGTGTCCTTGGCTCCATCCGCCTTCCATACCCATCAAGAGCCTTTGATATGGCCCAGTGTTCTAGATGTCTAATTCCTTGGACTTCAAATGGTCAGTGCTAAATTTGACAGTTAGTATGATGTTTGTAAATTTGACATCCTTTTGTCCTCTATTATGCCGATGCAATTTCTTGCCAAAGTTATTGAACGTCCACCCCATTATTGAATGCAGAGGGCATGTATCTAATGGAAGTTGATCGAGTCTTAAGACCAGGTGGATACTGGATTTTGTCCGGCCCTCCAATTAATTGGAAAACATACTATCAAACATGGAAGCGATCCAAGGAAGATTTGAAGGCAGAACAGACAAAAATTGAGGAGTTAGCTGAAAGTCTTTGTTGGGAAAAGAAGTATGAAAAGGGTGATATTGCTATTTGGAGAAAGAAAACAAATGCTGAATCCTGCAAAAAAAAGTCTTCCAATTTGTGTGATTTAGATAATGCTGATGATGTGTGGTAAGTCTTGCTTATATTTATGCATTAGACTCAGGTATCATGAGCATGATATGTGGTTACATGCAATCATACATAGTTGAAAAGATTTGGATGATGAATAGTTAGTACACAAGATTTAAACACTGTTCCTCTGGTTTGTTTTATTTGTTATTCACATGCAATCATTTTTTTCGACAATGAGGTGCTTGTGAATAACTTCATGCCATGCTCCAAAATTCATTTGTGTTGCACTTTTTCTTATTTCAATGATTCTTTCTGAAGGTACCAAAAAATGGAGCTCTGTAAAACCCCTTTACCTGCGGTAACCAACAAAAATGAAGTTGCTGGAGGGGAATTAAAGAAGTTTCCCGCCAGGCTTTTTGCAGTCCCTCCACGAATAGCCCAGGGCAATGTTCCAGGGGTTACAGCTGAATCTTATCAAGAGGACAACAAATTATGGAAAAAGCATGTTAATGCTTACAAAAGAATTAATCAATTGATTGGCACTAATAGATATCGGAATTTGATGGACATGAATGCAGGCCTTGGAGGATTTGCAGCTGCACTTGAATCGCAGAAGTCTTGGGTGATGAATGTTGTGCCCACAATTGCTGAGAACACTTTGGGTGTTGTCTATGAGAGAGGTTTGATTGGCATTTATCATGACTGGTATGTTTCTAAATTCTCTTAACTTTGTACGAGCCTTCTAGTTTCATGAATGTTTTCATGCAAATTGACTTCCTATACGAGAAAAATGATTAATTAAACTGAAATGTACGGTTATGATCTTTTATTTGTGAATACTGTAATGCAACATAGGCTACCTTTTGTATTTGTTTAGACAGCATGTTTTTTCTTGTCCTAATTCTGGACCTACTAAAAAAGAGATATTGGAATTGTTTATTGCACTGGTTGTTTGCTGTTGCTGCTGCTAGTTATTCACTATTCAATATTGCGTCAATTAAGCAAGTAATCTTGGATGAGTGATTGATTGTTTTTTCCACTGATAAAGACAATTCAACAGGCAATTAAAGTTCCCAAAATATATATATATATATATATATGCCTATTGGAGGAAGAAAATTATGTACTATGAAATTGCAATGACTTTATTTTGCTTTCTTCAGGTGTGAAGGCTTTTCTACATATCCAAGGACATACGATCTTATTCATGCCAATGGTTTATTTAGCTTGTACAAGGACAAGTAAGTTTCTTCTTTTTTCTTCCATATGCTAATCACAGTTTGTGGATTCTAGTGTCAAACATGAAAATATTCAAGAATTTTCAGCTAACAACTTAAGCTTTTGAGGAAGGAAATAATAATATGAAATGCCGCTCAAAGCTAGATGATCTTAGAGATTCTTTTTGCATCCCCCTAATTTGATTTGATTAAAAATAAAAAATGTTGGTATTGTTTTGATTGACAGATGCAACGTAGAAGACATCCTGCTAGAGATGGATCGCATCCTAAGGCCTGAAGGAGCAATCATCATCCGGGACGAAGTTGATGTCCTTAACAAGATTAAGAAGATTGTTGGAGGAATGAGATGGTCTGCCAAAATGATGGATCATGAGGATGGTCCACTTGTGCCTGAGAAGATTTTGGTTGCAGTGAAAGAGTATTGGGTTGCCACCACCCAAAAAAACTCATCCAATCAGGAATAAAACCGCTGCTGTTCTTCTGTGAAACTCACACCTCAGCCTGCAGTAACATTCAAGGTCTAACCCAGAGCGAAGTGAGGAGGAAAAGTAGAGCAAAGAAAATCCGTAGTTGGAGTCTATTCTACGACTGTCTTATACCAAGTGTAGGACTGTAGATAAAATAGATTAAATAGTTCTGGCTTAATTAATTAATTTTGAATAATTTAAGCCCAAGTTGTTTTGATGAATATTGGTGGTGTTAGAATGTTTAAATATTACAATTTTATTTATTTTCTTGGTTATTTAAAATATTGTGTGTGTTCATTTGAAACTCCATTGGGATTTATTTACATGTGTTCACAGCGAGGATTTATTTGTTGAGGTACTGGTATTGGTCTGGGCCTAACCTCAGCCAATCACTGGTTTTTGTACCCACCACAGACAGAATCATTAATCAGCATCTATACAAACAACCTGATTTTGAGGAACCATTCAAGTACTCATATGATATCCGAAGACACAGGCCTATGTCTTGCGGGTAATTGTCATTCAACAATTAACACTGTCTTCTTTTTGTCAATGTATGTTTCACCCACAACACGACCCTGTGATAATTGACATGAAACACTGTTTGATCTACCCACGATACCCCTAACGACAATCAATCCAGTTTCACTTCAAAATGTGACGAAAAGTTTGATGCAATAAGCTAGCGAAAACAATCAAAACTTTGCTAGTGGGAAGTTTTGTATCAGTCACTTTTTCTTTTCTTTTGTTCAGCTAGAACCCTATGAAAAGGTGTTCGGCATAGAAAAACAGAACAAGGTTGGGCCAAATAGCATTAGTAGGTACATGTGCACTTTACTTATCGACCTTTACATAAGAACAAAATTCATGATCTAACTAGTTCATTTCTGAATATTATTATATCTTCCCACAATTTTTTTTCAGGTCTTCTTAGTAAATATTAAATAAAAATAAGACATATAATATCCTAGTATCAATTTAGGGGCAGTTTTTGTTACTAATTGAAAAAACAACTTTGGTACAAGTGATTATTTTTTACATTTCTTTAAAAAAATCTATATTTGTTTAGTATGAGTATAAACAAGTTGATAAACTTGCAAACTCTTTCAACCAATTATATTTTAACATGATGGATCACTTGGGTTTGGTTGAATAGTTTCAGATTTAGTTGAATAGTTTACGTGTACCCACCCATTTATAACAAAGTTCGGGTAATATAATAGATTCATCTCAATAAAATCAAGGCAACTTAAATCAAGCAAGTAACATACATAATAAAAATTAAAATAATATTTTGAGCTAATTATAAAAAAATAATGCTTTGATTCATAAAGTGTTATGTATTTACTACGTAATACTAGATTTTATCCTTCAAATAATCGTTTTATTTTATAATGTTTAAATTTTCAATATATAATTTTTAATTACTCAATCTGATTATTTAACTCAACCCAGTTTGGTTAGGAACATGTTGTGTTGCTTAAACAAATCGGTTGGATGTAAGTTATTTCAAATCCAATCTTACACTTATTACTTAGATTTCTACAATAATAAAAATCACCATTTTAAAAGAATATAAAAATAAACAACTGATCAATTAGAAGCTATACAAAATAGCTTTTTAGCTTAATCGTTTTTTTTTAGCTTTTGATCATTATAAACAAATAAAACATAAATGAAAAAGTCTCAAAAATGATTTTTTTTTTCTTCTGAAAAAGCCATTAACTGAAAGAAAAAACTGTCTGTAACAAGAATACTTTAGAAATATTGATTTTTTTTTTGTATTTGTGGTGATTATGTTGTTTATAATCTATAGCCACGAGTAGAATGAGGCTATAGTCAACCCAATCTGTGGATATAATCATGATTACCGTTTAATATTGATTTATAAGAATAATTTTTTTAGTTTACCCTACGTAACTCTCTCCACCTCTACTGAAATCATTGATACGAAAATCTGCTTTAATAATTGACTAGACATTAATCAATTAATTAATAATTTAACTCAACCTTATTATTTAGATCTATTTTGTTCTACCCGATAATATCAAAAATTAAATCAATCAATACATAAAAAATAATATATAAAATAGAATTCAGACTATACCTTATAATATTATATTCAAATATTTGAATAAGGTTTTAAAATATTAATAAATATAAAACATATAAGAATATTTAATAAGTTGATTTTTATTTTAATTAATATATAATAATAATATTTTTAATTTATAATTATTTAAAATATAATTATTTAATTATCATAAAATTTAATATATAATAAATGGAAATAATAAAATTTTAGAAATATGATATAATATGATAAAATTTAATAAAAATAAATTTTAAAAAAATAATATTACATATTAGTTGAAAATATTTTTTAAAAAAACATGTTGATAATATTGAAAAAAAAATGAAGAAATTACTATATAATACGAAAAAGAAAAATCGACATAAGGATTAATATTTTATGATTTTGATTTAAATATAAATTTTAGACGAAAATAAGACAGGATTAAGATTGGGACCAAGCTCGGGTCAATATGACTTACGTTATTATTTTTGCTTCGTTCCTAATTTCTTAAAGAAAAAAATCCAAATTTATATCTAATTAATTCAATTTTCTTTGTGAACCTCCGTATACATATGCGAGTTTGATTGTTCTTAGTTTGGAAGAAATGAAATCATATAGATATAATCAATTGTGTTTGATATGTATAATTTTTCTTTTATCATGTTATTAACACTTCAAATAAATTGAAAACAATGAAACAAACACCTGATAAAAACTAAATTCATGGTATATATTCTTCACTTACAAAATCTTTTGCGAAAATTTAAAAATGGTGTAAAGAATAAGCTCGGTTTAGAAGTTTATCAAGAGAAAATCAACCATAGATAATGGCTTCATGACAAGTGCAAACTTGAGTAACACTGTTACGAATGTATATATAATGAAGATAAAAAATAAACGTGAGCCCGTCTAGCTCAGTTGGTAGAGCGCAAGGCTCTTAACCTTGTGGTCGTGGGTTCGAGCCCCACGGTGGGCGTTATTTTATCCTTTTGCTTACATTTCTTCGTGGACCAGATTAAGTTTGTCATAATTTGATTACGTTCTTCCCACATGGTGTGACTTAAATGTAAAGTTTGACACTGGAGTATGCATGGTAAGAAACTTACCAGAAATTCCTTGTATTAATTAGGCTGGGCCATGAAGAAGTTGGAGAGATCACATCAAGCATACCAATAAATTATTATTCTCTTCATATCCAAATCATCGTTTCAGCAGTCCTTGCTAAGGGATGTCTAGTCCCACGCCCCTACAATCCTTTACCTCTTTACCAAATGCATAGTATAGTGCCTAAATAGCTCTCTCGCCTATATCTCACTTTTTTCAACCATCTCCCAAATTCTTATCATCACCATGCCAATCATTAAAATAGCCATATTCAACATTACTATATATATATATATTGAACTCTGCAACCATTTTGTATTAGTCATCGACAACACTAATATAGAATTTATCCATTAATAAACATGGATTACTCCAAAAGTAAGCATTATATAACCTTGATACAATGCCGATGGGCTAAATTCATTGCATTATAGATTATGCATTTAGTGTTAAATAAGTAAGGTTCTTCATGTTTTTTTGACGTATACGTACGTAAAGAAGCCAATTTAGAAGTGCTCACTTCCATGAAAGTGATGGATATTGTAGTTCAGATGAGGATTAACCTTGTTAACTAAATGAGTTGGATTTATATAGAAAGAGAAAGGAAGAGGAGAATTAAAATACTCCAACAATTAAATTAAAAGGATTTATTTTGTATTTTTAACGTTTTTTTCTTTTTCTTAAAACACTTGAATTGCTATATGTTTTTCATAATTATATTTGTTTACAATAAAGTAAAATCTTTTGATTCTCGGAGTTGAGTTTTCGAAAGTCCCATGAATTCATCTACAATCTTGAATGTAATAACTTTAGTTAACTTCTCTATTATAATGTCAAGATTATAAAAACTTGTTTCAAGAAATAGAAGGAATATTTAATCACTTATAAAAATAGAACTTTAAGATCACAAATTCATTTTGTTTTGGTGAAAAGTACTAACAAAAAAGTTTGTAAAAAATGTACGATAATTTTAAGAGAACTTTACCAAATAATATATTCTTTTCATTTTTTTTTCTAGTTTCAAAATACTTAATATAAAGAATCAAACAAGTTTCATATATAAGGATTGGGTTATTGCAACTAAATAGGGATATACATTTGGTTTTTAACTATAATTTATTGAAGATAGTTAAATATATAAAAATTTGAAGAGTTTTAGGAAGATGTTCAGAAAAATAATATAAGTTCGTAGAAAATGAAAAGCAAGATATTCCAAACAAAGTAATATCTATTAAAATTAAAAAAATAAATACATTCGCTACAAATTATGTTATAAAAAAATGGAGTGATAATGTTTATAAGAGTTTCAATATTAGATAAGTAGAGTTATAAATATAAATTTGACTATTTATCTAAGTTCGAATCGAATTGCGTGGAATTAAAAAAAAAGAATTTAATCTATTAATTTGTTGATTAAATAGGTTTGAATCTATGTTGATAATAAACTAATTCATTTTTTTTTATTTTAAATGAATGTGAAAAAAAATATAATTTAAAAAAATATTTATCTCAACTAAATTGATACTTTAAGAAAAGAAATCAAATATTAAATAATTTTTATTTCAATTTCTAATAATTTAAGTAGTCTTGATTGATTATAAATATAGAGAAAAGATTATTAGGACTGTAAATAATCAATTTGATTTTATATAAGAAATATTTATAAGAAGTTATTTATGTTCTATGGAGATTAACTGAAGGGTACCAAATTAAAAAAAAAAAAAAAGTGTTAAGGAAAATTTAGAATGGGTACCAAATTAAGAAAAGTTGTCATGGAAGACTATAGAAAAAAAATATATTACATAAGTAAAGTTTT